CATCGACCCTGATGGGCAAATTTGATTCCGTTCCCGACCAATTGAGAAGTGTGGAACAAATTAAGTTCGTGAATGGAGGAACCACTATAGTAACCCTTTGCAAGACCACTCCGGTCCCTGCTACCATGGCTCACGGTTATGCTGTAATTACCTCATGTTCTTGGCATGCGGGCGACAGTTGCCACCTTCAAATTTACCTCCCCCCATGAAGCACCACTGATGTGTCTCAACCCTGAACCCTCTTAGAAACACCTCCACCTTTCGTTCAGCCATGTTCTTACACACCAGCCCGTGACAGGGCCTTCTGCCACTGGATGTCATCGTGATGGCAGGAGCTAAGCTTGGACTCTGTTCCCATGGGTCCGCATGGGGAGGAAAGAGGCTGTAAGGGTGATTTTCTCAGACAGGCTCAGGGTCAGGCTCTAACTAAAAGCCCCTAGGGACAGATGAACTGTCCCATCCATGAGTGAAAGCAGAGACACCAGGATCTTGTGTCATCTAACAGGCTGGGATATTTTAGGACCAGAAACCAGGCTGCGCCTTCCTATTTTTAAACAATGGTTTAATGTGAAAGGAACTTAATCTGTTTATAAGGTGATTGAGACATTGTTTCTCCCAATCTGAGGTAATCAGCCAGCTCTTGGGCATCATGTGCATAATCTCTAAATTGACAGACAAGTCCTGTGAAACACAACAGCCAATTTCATCACCGAATAATCATTTAAGTCACCCACAAAGACGTGTGCTTATTTGGTGTGACAGTGTGTCATACCAGGAAAGCAGGTCTTGAAAATTCCTGTTTCCCGCCTCTCAGTCATCACTGATTAGAGGTAGAAATAAAAGAGGCACGTGCCTCTTCTTCTCGTTGATCGGGCTAATGGAATCTTCCGGCCAATTATTGGGTTTTTGTCTGTTCTACAGAAATGAAAATGAAAATGATCCACGTGCACAAGTGAAAGCAGGATGCAATGCCGTGTTCCGAATGCTTTGGGTCGGAAGTCGCATCTGAGGCCAGGGTGAAGTCTCTTCTCCCAGAGGGCAGCCGTTCTCTGTGGCGTTGCCCAGCCACTGACACATCTTCCTGGTGCTGCTTACCTGTGCCCGTCCCAGGGTACACAGCCGTCCATACCACAACAGGGCACTGTCTCACTTGGGGCATGAGCTCAACACTTCCCCTTTGGCTGGAGAACCCAGTCTGTCCCAGGACCATGCAAACCCACCCAAATCCCTGCTCCTCTCTCAATGCCAGGATACAATGTGCTGAGCTAAAACCGAGGTGCCTTTTTAAGAGAACAAATACATGTTCCAGAGAAACATCTGTTTTTCCATTTTTACCTCTTTAGCAGAATTTTGCATGTAAATAAATTTTATTTTTTAATTTATTTCTAGAAATAATTGTATCTGCTTGTAAATTATTACCTGAAGTTCTTTTAAAAGCAGTGTCTGAGAACCATACTGTTAGAAATACAATGATTAACTATTGATAATGCGAACTCATGTTTTCCATATGGCATATTTCTTTCAACGTTACATTTGGGATCAAAACATTCCATACACATAGAGTTTAAAATAACGGTAAACAGGAAAACAAAGCAGCAGGGGCTCGGGATTATCGAGAACTGACGCTCACAGCCACAAGACCAGAAGAGGGGCCGGCTGGGTTACTACTCCCCGTAAGGAGCATACCTCGCTAGCAAGAGGCACCATGGTCTCGTCATTTTCCCCCAAAGAAACCAACCTTCACCTTCTCTGTGGATGAGGACTCTGCTGTGGGTCACACAGCCTGTTGTGAAGACAACTGAGATACCATATGGAGCAATTCAAAATAGAATGTCCACATGCTTTGCATTAAATCTGAACTTAGAAGGGTAGGTGAAGCCAGGTGTGGCAGTACACATCTGTAATCCCAGGGCTCTGGGAGGCTGAAGCAGGAGGGTCACTGCCAGGTTGAGGCCAGCCTGGGCTACACAGTGAGCTCAAGGCAGCCTGAACTATATATTTTTTATTGTTTGTTTTTGGTACCAGGGATCAAACTCGGGTCCTTGTGCTTGCAGGGCAGGCAGTGGAACCACTGAGCTAAATCCCCGGCCCAGCCTGAACTATATTGTAAGACCCTGTCTCCAAAAGAAACCAAGCAAACTAAAAAAAAGAAAGATAAAAGAAAAAGCAATTCAGTAATCCAGTTTCCTGGGGCACATGTTAGCTTCCTGATCACTGAACTATCTAAGTAAGTAGTCTTCAAAGAGAAGAAGTGTGCTTTGGCTCACAGCTTTGGAGATTCCAGTCTGTGCCCAGCTGGTCCCCTTGCTTCAGGCTACAGCAAGGCCTCTGGGTAAAGCAGAGGGATCCCGCCATCCCCTTCAGGGACCTCCCAGCCCCTCCTCCCCAGGGTCCCCAGCACCTCCTGCTGGCACCACTGGGGACCCAGCCTTTGAGGACCTTCAGGACCCCAACCAGAGTATATGCTCCACATGAAAACACTCTATAACGAACTTAAACACATTTAAGTGCAAGCTATCATTTTTTAAGAGCTAGAGAATAATTTTTAAATGACAGCAGCATAGGTTAATGCAGAGAGACAGATATCCTTAGGAAAACTTGGTGACCTTTCCCCATGACATTGGTGAGTGCGACATTTTTAAGGACCAGCGCTGCTCTTCAAGGCCGCTGGTTGTCGCCTTTGTGTGATCCTGCATCCTTTCCCCATCACCCTTCCTTCTCCTGCTGCACCCGTTCCTCTCTCCTCCACACCCCAGCATCCCAGAGAGCTCTGCTGGGCAGTGGTAAGTGGCAGGAAGTCTCTCCTAGACGCGGGCAGCCAGGGCAGAGGGCTGCCCATGGGGAGAGGCAGATGTGCATCGCACAGACAAGTCGGATCTCCTCCCACATACCTGTTTCTTATCAAGGGACAGAAGGAATAACTTTAGAGAGGAGAAGCCGGCAGACACCACTCCATCAGGTAGTAGCAGAAAATAGCATCAGGAGCAAGACTCCCTGGAAAGTGCCCCGAGGGAGGAGCAAGAAGAATCTAACTGAGTCCCTCTGGGACCCTCCCGCAAAGGGCGTCTGAGGTTAACCAGGAGGGAGCTGCAGAGCAACCCAAACAGGACACTGCTGTACTAATGGACCGCCTGTGACCTCCAAATCCGAGGCATGGAAGCCAAGGGAAGACTGAGGAGCTATCCAGGACAGAAGCAGGAGACGTGAGAGGTGCTCAGCTGACTGCAGGGCAGGCACGGGTTAATTTTTCTTTTTATGAATGCCTGCAGTGCACAGTGAGTCCATCTGTCCTGGGGTGTTAGTTAGCCGAGTACATGACACACCTTGATTCCTTTTATGTCCCCTTGCCCTCCGCTCCCTCTGTCCCTTGGTTCCCTTCCAACCGGCAAAAGGCAAAGGGGGTTCGAGGATTAGGTAATGGGGCATTATATGGGCGAATCCTTTTCCAGTGGCCTGGGAAAAACCAGTTGTGTCCTGAACTTACAACTTCCTTCTAAATTTGAAATAAAGAGTTTCACAATTTTTAACCAGAATTTTAAAAATGCATTAGGAAATAGCAATAGGAAGATGAGACACTTCAAACAATTGGATAAACCAGGAGGTCAAAGCTATCCAGATGCTGAAAAGGTGCCATGTCCCATGTGTGCGCTGATGTGGTCGGAAGCGCCTGTCCTTTGGGGGAACAGGGTTGTGGCAGCCAACTTTGTACAGAATTTTCGGTGGGGAATGATAGTGGTAAGGTTGTTGGTATTTTTCCTATGATGCAGAATAACACAAGGAGGACCTGATGTGATCACATGAAAGAGGCAAACCAAGGTGAACAGACCCAAGAAAAGGAATCACCGGCCTGTCGGGGCGGGGCGGGGGGGAGCCAGGTCCCGAGCAGGTGGCACAGACGGGTCCATATGAAGTGCTGCCAGTGGGGTCCCCGGGATGAGGGCTCCAGGTCAGAGGGCCCCTCAGGTTCCCTCAGGAGAGGCTGGAAGGTCAGCCAGGGCAGGGGCGCAAGCCTGGCAGCACAGTGGTGCCCTGCACGCCTGTGACCCCGCCCGTGGGCTAAGCCAAGAGCAGATGCAGCTGACCCGTGACCTGATCAAAGGCTGAGGCACAGTCGGTCTGAGACCTGGCCCCGAGCAGGACCTGTCATCACGTGAGGACCAGAAAGGGACTCAAACAGTCATTACGGCAGGGGCCTCGGCCTGGACTGCGGGAGCTTCCAGCCCCTCGGGGTAGCGAAGAGAAGACCAGGCTCCAGGGAGCCTGGGCCCTGCTGGTGGCTCCCTGCAGACCCTGAGCCTCGGGCGGCCAACATCCCCACCTGCTCCATCCCTGCCCTCCCCCCACAAGGAAAGCCCCTGGGCCCCGGTGCAGGTGTCCTGCGGACCCCGGCCATGCCGAGGACTGTGACCTTACCTTCTCAGGCCCTCCTCGCCTCCAAGTCCCAGGCAGGCCCACCCTGTCCACCATCTCGAGCCTCTCGCTGGACACCACAGAAGTCCCTGTTCTCCAAGGGATTCCAGTCACAGAGGAGGTAATGCCGGCTTCCTAAGCATCGAAGCTGTCAGCCCTACATTAGAACACTGCTTACAGCTCATTTGCGGCGTGGCAGGAGGGCCCGGAGCAAAGCAATTTCCTAAGCCATCACTGAGCCTCTGCTAAGAAATCCTGAGTGCTGGGAGGAACAGGACTTCACCTTATTCGGGGCCACATTTTAACCCTAAGCAGAATGAAAACACCCACAAAGTCCTCTGGAATGTTCCTCTACGCCTCTCTCTGTCAACATTTTCCATTTGAAATATCCAAAGCCGACGACGCTCGAGTTTGCGTAACCGGCGGGGGCAGATTCAAAGCACCCTGGCCCTGGCCAGCTGCTTTCTGTACCTACTCCTTGCTGGCATGTGATGGTGAGGACTCCCTGCAGCTCCGGGTTCCGGGTTTGTTTGATGCAGACAGCATCCACGCACAGCCTCTCAACAGATGAGGAGAAAGGAGTCTGCACAGCATTTTAAAAGCTCCATTTTATTACACACATGCACACATATGCACGCGCGCACACACGTTAGAACACACCCCTTCAGCAAAGTTGCAGGGTACAAAATCAGCTTGCAAACGTCAGTTGTGCAGTAGCAATGAGAACCGCCTCTGTGAAGAAACAATCCTGTTTATGGAGTGCAAAGAAAAATAAAATATTTAGTGATGAATGTTACCAAGGAGATGAAAAACTGATACACCAAAAACTATGAAGTGTAGACTGAAATTAAAGAAGAATGCCCGTAAGTACAAAGACACCCTACGTGCATGGCCTGGAAGACTTAGTTTCTTTAAGATGTCAGCATGATCCAAAGTAGCCTGCTGTTGCACTGCCATCTCTACCAAAATCCCAGTGACTTCTCTTCTTTTGCAAAAGCAGAAAAATCCATCCTAAAATTCAGATAGAATTTCAAGGAACCCTGAATTGCCAACACCATCTTGAAAAAGATGCACAAGTTGGAGGTCTCACACTTCCTGATTTCAAAACTCCCTAAGTCACAGGAACCAAAACAGTATAGCGACTGAGGCGCAGAGACTGACAGGACAAATGGAGCAGCCTGAAATAGTCACACCATGGAGCCCACAATTTTCTACAAGGGAGCCATGTGTCTGTGGGGGAAAGGACTGTCTTTTCAACAAATGGGCTGGGAAAACTGAACATCTGCATGCAAAGGGACCCTTGCCTTATAGCTCGGAAGGTAACTCAGAACCAGTCAGAGACCTGAGCCTGAAGACCCTGGATTTTACCATTTGCCTCACAGCACTGTTGAACACTTTGACAACTGATTTTTGGACATGACACTAAAACCACAGGCCACACACACACAGAAAGAAAATGGATACATTTGATTACATCAGAGGTCAGAACCAGCAGAGTGAAAAGGCCACCCAAGGAATGATAGAAAACATTTGTAAATTGGGTATATAGGGGATTGCTATCTGGAATATGTAAAGAACCCTACAACTCAACAGCAGAAACTAACTCCACTAAGCACAGACAAAGGGCTCCTTACTAGGTATTTCTCCAAATAAGATAAGCATGTGAGAAGACACCCAGCATCATCATTCAGAAAATGCAAACCAAAGCCACAATGAGACCCCGCCTCGCACCCTAAGGGCGCAGACAGCAATCAACAACACAAAACCCAACTGGAAACACCAGGCATTGGTGGCCTCCTGGAGAAACCCGAACTCTTGTAAGACGCTGCAGCCCCTGTGGAAGACGGTGTGGCGGCTCCTCAAACAATTAAAAATGTGACTATCGTAGGATCTGGCAATCCCACGCCTGAGTGAGCATGCCAAAGAATGGAAAGCAAGGTCTCAGAGAGATGCATGAGGAGTTCACCATAGCCACGGTGTGGAAGCAGCCGGAGCCCTTCACTGGTGAGAAAGACAGACAGACGGCAGACACAGCCTGGGGCGTGATCCAGCCCAGACAGGAAGGCAGTTGACACCTGCTGGCCCACGGAGGGGCCGGGAGTCTGTTATGACTGAGGGCTTGGTGGAAGACGCAGGTTCCGCTGAACAAGGTCCCTGGAATAGTCCAGTCACACAGGGAGGGCAGCGGTGGCTTCCAGAAGCCAGAGGAAGGGAGAGCAACTGTTGAGTTGTGGCTGTGTTTTTTTGTGGGAGGGGGGTTTGTTTTTGTTTGTTTCTTTCGATGGTGAGATGGCGCCAGCGCCTTCACACTGAGCCTCAGCCCCAGCTGGAGTCCCTTGAGTGGGTGCAGAGCCCGCGTTTGGGATGATGGAAAGCGGTGGAGACGAGCGGAGGCGATGGTCGCACACCGCAGTGGAAGGGACCTGACGCCGCCGAACTGTGTTTCAGCACCTTCACCTTCCAACCCAAACAGGAGTTGCATTCCTTCTGCGGCACACCAGCAAACAGTAAGGCTGCCCTGACCCTCGGAGGGAGGAGACCACGACAGAACTACTTCTTTCTTTCCCTTGGCTTTCTCTTTCTTCCTTCCTTTTCTTCTCAGTAGTGGAGATTGAACCCAGGGCCTTTGCACTAAGCCCTACCCCCAGCCCTTTTTGGTTTTTAGGGTCTCACGAAGTCACTAAGTTGCCCGGGCTTGGCTTGAACTTACAATCCTCCTACCTCAGCCTCCCAGAGTCCTGTGTACCACTACTCATATTTCCGCACATTTGAAGCTACCAAGAAGCGTATTTTGATTCGATGGAGTCATTAATACACTAAAAGCAAGGTCTGAATCAAACAGTCCTGGTTTAACAGAACAAAGGATAGGACGTGTTGCTACGGTTTAGATGTGAAATGTCCCCCAAAACTCATTTCGAAAGGCCTGGTTCCCAGCCAAGGGGCTTTTGGGGAAGCGATGGACCGTCGGGGCCCTCATTCATCCACGCAGTGATCCGCTGATGACACGTGATGTGACGGCGCTGTCGGGAGCCATGGGAACGGGGCGGGGCTGGTGCAAGGGGGCGGTCCCGGGCCTGACCCCTTCCGGACCCCTTCCTCTCGGTCCTTCCCCGCCCTCCCTCTGTTTCCGGCCACCACGAGGGACCAGCTCTCCTCCGCAGTTCCCGCCCGCCGTCGTGTTCCCGCCTCACTCATCTGCGGATGTGGCCGCAAACCCAGAGGCGGTGACCCAGCGCCCTTAGGCTGCGCCCCCAGCTCAGAGTGGGGTCCCTGTCACCACGGCAGGGCATGCACGTGGGCTTACCTTAGCTTTGCCGTACATTGTACCAAAACATCCGCTGAAGTTCTTTAATTTGCACCATTCCTTCAGATAAAGAAATTTGGTACCCCCTCCAAAACCAGATTGAAGTCTAGATAGATGCAGTGATCGATTCCTGGGGAGGCTGAGGCAGACGGATTGCAAGTTCAAGGCCAGACTGGATACAGAGAGGGGCGGGGGGAGGCAGGAAAAGACTGAATGTCTTGTTCAAAGAGAATCTTCATATGCTATTTCACGCTGTTCTTCCACTGTAAGGGAAAAAATAAAAGATTTACGGCTGGATGGATTTTAAAAACTCACCCAAGTCCTGTAACCATGTGTGAAGAAACCTTCCTCAGAGAGCAGCTCTGGAGCAGATTTAAACCAAGTATGAGGGGTGCAGAGGTCTCAGGACAGACCGCAGAAAGGTGAGGACCATGACAGGCAGAGATACCAAACCCAGAAGGGTAATTTCAGCAAGGTGGATTAGCATTAAGCTAATCAAAGAGGAGGGGGAGGAGGAGGAGGAGGAAGGAAGGAAGAAGGAAGAAAAAGAAGAAGGGGAAGACAGACGAGGGTGTCAGGGCACGAGACTGAGACTCCTCTGTGCCGGAGCTGATAGGCGAGGACCCAGGTCACAGGCCAAGCCCACCCTCCCATCCACGCATCTCCACTCCCGACCCTGGAGTCTCTCTCCCCTTCCAGCCTACACTTCTTCCCTTCCTGCATCTTTCCTGCTCCCGCCCCCTCCTCCCTCCCTCTCTCTTTGAGTGTTGTCTCTTTAGGTATTTGTTGCATTAATTGCAACTATAAAAAGCCTGTTTTGTGAGTTGAAATGCTGAGCACTTGTTGCAGGGCCCTCCCTCAGGGTGATGTCCATTCTTCCTTAGTCGGGCCATGCACCTGCACTGCAAGCGTCCTTGGTGCTAGCAGTTCAGGCCGCTGAGGACAGAGTCCAGGACTCACACCAGCAGGGCAAGTTCCCCACCACGCGCCTGTGGCACCGAGGAGGACCCTGGGTTTATTAAACCAGAGTCACCCTGTTTGTTCAGCATCAGTTCTGGTAATAGAAGGGACTTGGTTCATTTATCCTGGCCAGTAAAAAAGTGGAAAAAAATAATACCTTGAGGTCACCCTGGAGAACCTGGCAGAATCTTCCCTGGTGCTGGGCTTGACAGGGAAGCTGGGCTGAGCGGGGTTCGTGCCTGAACCGTGGCTGGTGGAGGCACTGCTGCCTCAGAATCAGAAGTCTCTGCTTTCATTGCTTCTGGGCTTGCAGCTTATGGCCCTCTGCCAATGACCATGGCCTCTCGGGGCTTTTGATGTCAGCTTTCATTTCTGTGGCAGCCGCTGTTCCACAGCACAGCACACATAATACTAGGTTTTGTGTTTCAGAATTAACACATGCATTGCCAGAAGTCTCCATCATATTTCCAAACTCTGCTTTGGACTGTCCACACCACCTTCATACCAGGCGTGGCAGCTGCACACCTGTGAGCTCAGTGATCCAGAGCCTGAGGCAGGAGGATCACCATGAGCTTGAGGCCAACCTGAGCTACAAAGTAAGTTCAAGGCCAGCCTGAACTACACAGCAAGACACTGTCTCAAAATACACAACACACTCACATACACTACCCTCACAACATAAATTGCTGGTATTGAGGGACTTTTGTTTACAGTTTATAAGATGAAAAAAAATACAGCTGTCCCTGGATGTCCACAGGGGACTTGTTCCAGGATCCCTGAGGATTCCAAAGCCCACCAGTGCTCACGTTGTGAAAAGGAGGGCATCCTACTTGTCCATGACCTGGGCACATCCCCCAGCATCCCTCCAGTTGCCTCAGTTCTTAGTGCTGACCAGTAATAATGTGCCAGTAACTGAAATAATGAATTTCACACAAGAGGAAGAGTTCATTCACAAGGTGCTGAGTGCGAAGAGAGCAGATCCCAGTCTCAAATCTGCCTCCCAGAGAAAAGGGTTGGGAGTGTGTGTGTGTGTGTGTGCACACGCGCGCGCGCACATGTGTATGCGGGTGTGTGTCTGTGATGTTAGGAATTGAACCCAGGGCCTTTGCACTGAGCTACATCCCTAGCCCTTTTTATTTTTTATTTTGAGACAGGGCCTCACTAAATCACTAAGTTGCCCAGGCTGGGCTCAAACTTGGGATCCTCCTGCCCCAGCCTCCTAGAGTGCTGGGATGACAGACCTGTACCACCGCACCTGATTTTCTTTCTAATTTTCTTCAGATGTCCAGCAGGAATGTGAAGAAGACACCAAGCTTGCCTTCTCCCCTGACTGTCTGCCACATTCAGTACCTATGGACAAGCCTGGACACTCAGAGCGCTAATATCATTTCCAACCTAGAATGATCACCAAGACTGGAAGCATCATGTGATACAGAGTCATGACCTCCGGAAAGGTCCACACCCCAATCCTGGAACCACACAGGGACCCTGTGACCATACTCAGCAGAGGTACTGGGGCCCTGGCAGAGGTTTTCCCAAGCTGACCTGGAAGGGCCTGAGATCTCCCCAGGAACCACTGCCCAGGAGGCGGAAATGTGAGCGCTGAAGGGAGGAGATAGAAGAACTGAGAGGAAGGTGGGACTCGCACTGCACCAGGGAGATGGAGGCATGGCCACAGCCAAGGAATGAGGGGAATCTGGATACTGGGCTCTAAGGAAGGGCTCTCCCCAGGACCTCAGGAAGGAGCACAGTCCTCCGGACTTCTTGATTTCAGCCCTGTAAGAACCATTTTGGAATTCGGATGTTCAGAACATTAGATAATCAATGAAATCATGCGGATTTTTGTTTAAGACAGTGTCCTGGTAAGTAGTCCAGGACAGCATTGCACCTGCTAAGTAGCCCAAATTGGCCTTGAATTTGCAGTCCTCCTGCCTCAGCCTCCCAGAGTGCTGGGATTACAGGTGTGCACTGCAACACCCAGCATTAAATTTTTTTTTATGAGTCACTAAGTTCATAGTAACTTGTAGGCAGGAATAGGAAATTCAAACAATTGCTGGATACATAATGCATGATTTATTATTATCTATGCTGTATGATAAAATAGGATTGATGTTTCCAGACCTGTTGGCTGACCTGTGGTTTACAAGTTCCCATGGCTTTCTTGTGAGGAAATCAGAGTAGCAGTGGGGTCGTCAGCTGTTACTATAATGAAACACCTGAGATGACAACTTAAAAAGAAGAGTGGGTTATTGGCTCACAGATTGGGAGGTCTCCGATCGTGGTCAGTCACCCCTTGATTCTGGGCTGTGGGAAGCAGTGCATCCTGGCAGGAGCACATGGCAAAATAGGTCGCTCACCCCATGGAGACCAGAAACTAAGGCAGAGAGACAGGAAGAGGAGGGGTCAGAGTCTAACTTCCGTTCTGTGGCCACACCCCCTGTGATCTCACTTCCTCCCACCAGCCTCCCCTGTTAAAGGTTCCTCCACCTCCTAACAGCACCCCGGGATGAGGTCAAGCCTTGGCACGTGGGTCTTGGGGGTGCCGTAGATCCAGGTGTGAAAACTCTTTCCAAGCTTTTGATGATTTAAGTGCAAAGTGCAGTGACTTGATCCCACACTAGGGTCGAGGCTATCTGCTGGCTCTGTCCCAAGTCACCCAAAGCTGGTGGCCTCCTCCCAAGCACCAGCTTTGCACCACTGCTGTCCCTAAGCTGGAGGAGGGGACACATGCACTGTGAAATGCAGAGCTGCTCCTGGGGTCCTGTCCACGGAACAGCAGTGAGAGAGGCAGGGAGGGAGGTGCAGGGATGGGAGACCCCTGGGCTCACAGAGAAGGGGAAAGGAGAGGGAGGCAGGTATTGGGCCCCTTGTGCTACTTCCTCACCTTCTCCTCTTTGGACAAGGTCTTGAAGGGGGTGGTTTAAAATATGCAAGTAAATGGGGCATAGTGGTGCATGTCTATAATCTCAGTGCTGAAGAGCCTGAGGCAGGAGGGTCACCAGGAGTTACAGGCCAGCCTGGGCCACATAGTGAGACCCTATATCAATATTACTAACAATACTAATAATAAGGCACAAGTAATCTATAGTGTGGCCCGAGGATAGAAGGATCTCTACCCACTTCCTATCTTTAAATCTGCGGTCTGCTCCCACACCATCCCCCCTGTGGTTATTAGGCAAAGGGAAACCCAAGGACCTCCCCAGAGTCTCCCTTATGACGAGGAAACTCTCCAGAGAAACCCTCAGGACCGGGCGCAGAAAACAACTAAGCAGAGTGTACAGCTGCCCAGGTCGTGCACTGCACAAGGACACCACAAGAGCGGCATCTGTATTGTCACAGACTTTGTGTGGCTTCAGCCACTTGGAAGAGGCAGTTTGTAATCATAATGCCGTTTTCCAGGAGGTGGCAGCGATGTGTCTTAACAAAAGCAGTGTGCACTGGTGATTTCAGACAGAAAAAAGTGACTTTTTCCAACACTGCAAAATACAAGGCGTCTTTGTTACTTTATGGAAAGGGGCCCATCAGTAATCGAAAGCCCTCTCCGAGCCCATCTCGACAAATCTGAGCTTCTAAACAAGGAGCTGTTTTTCAGTCATGGACCAGTCAGGGAGCAGCTTTAAAAACGTTAGCCCCCTGCCACTGATGCACCGACTGACACAAAGTGTCCACTTCATAGTGCATGCCACGTCAGCCACCAGCATTCTACTGTGTCTGAGTGATAAAAAGTGAGCTTCCAATTTCCATCCGCTTCTATTAGGATACAAGCCAAATTTCTAAGACAAAGCCTTTGATCCGCCATTAATAATCCACACATAATGCTTTATGGCCCTCCAATTGTGCAGATAATTATTGTGCTAATGAAGAATTTTTACAGTGAAAAGGTGTTTTTTTGTTGTTGTTTTGGTACCGAGGATCGAACTCGGGTCCTTGAGCTTGCGCAGCAGGCGGCGAAACCACTGAGCTAAATAAATCCCCGGCCCGAAAAGGTGTTGTTAAAATGGAGAAGTTTGCTAAAGACTTTTTTAAAGTTAAAACTCTAAAATAGAATATTGAACCACTGCTGATAAGCCTTGTTTTATTGTGGAGCGACATCCCGATAAACACTTTGTAAATTGAAAGTATCTGAAATTGAAAATGCCGTGACGCGCTGCCTGCCGCCCACCCTGCAGACCCCGGATGCTCCCTAAAGAGGGCCACTGGGCCCTGTGGAGGCTGCTGCTGCCCCGGCACGGAGGCAGGACGGGACCGCGGGTCACTGCTCAGGAGAAGATTCAAACTCGAAATTCGCAGAAAGGCTTCTGCG